CCTTCCTTTCTAGGCCAAACTCCTTTTTTCAAAAGAAAGGGCTTCTACTACATTCCTCAAATTATTGCTCTCAAATCACTTTTCAACCAACTTTTTTAATCTTTTTTCACAAGCTCAGCTGTGGGTTGTAAAATTCTGTATTTAAAAAAAAATCTTACTACTGCACATAGTTGACCACTTTAATTATGTTGATGGTGATAATAATAATTGTTTTGAGCCCTTACTATACGCTAGGCGTTGGGCTAAGTGCTTTATTACCATTGTCCTATTTAATCTTCATAACAGCACTATGAGGTAGGAAGTACTATTATTCCTATTTTACAGATGTCGACTTGAGATTTAGATGAATCGAAGAACTTGCCCAAGTCATATAGCTAGTAAGTGGGGGAGTTGGGACTTGGGGCCAAGGTTGTTTGAAACCAACTAGTTGGAGTCACTAGATTAAGCCAGTTATGATACCTGCCCTAGTTTTAGGATTCTAGTTACATCATCCAATAACAGGCCTTAGTGTTTAGGTCCATCAGGTTTTCTGATATTTGTAGTCTACAGAGTCCTGGTTTGATCTAGGCTACGATGCTGTAAGTCCCTTAAGGGCTGGGTCTCTGGTTTGTTTCTTTGTTTTTAGTCTGCAGTGCCTAGCACCATGACTGGAATACAGTAGGTATTTGCATTTATCTTGAATGAAATAAGAGTTTTTATTTTTTATCATTTCTGCTCATTATTCCCTCCTTCAACTATTCCATTTTCTTAAATATTTATAATTAAGCAAAGAGATGGAAGAGCCACTCTGAGGAGGAAGGGCTCATGTCTGAATCACCTGGGAGCATTTTCAAACCTATATAGTCCCCTCACCACCACTTTGATACTTCCCTCTTTGGGGCATGCTTTCACCTCTCTAAGTGTACTGACTGAGCCACTGAAGGAAATGTGTTATAATCCTCCTGTGTGTTAGGAGGGCAAAACGTGTAGAACCCGTGAAAATCAGATATTGTATACTCCTATTTAAATATTCCATGCACACAAATTTTGTTCCTTCAAATAGATTGTAAGATCTTAGCAGGAATTCTTTCTTTGTCTTGGAGATGTTAGACTCATAGAAAGTAAGGACTAGCAGGGATCTAATATCATCTGGTCCATTTTTCATATTTCAGTGATGAGGAAATAGAAGTCTTCAGGATTTAAGTGATGTGCCCGTCGTTGGATCCTTTGCAATGAGTAGCAAAGTGTTAGGCACATAAAAATGTGCTCAATAAATACATTTTGTGGGTGAAGAATTAGAAATAAAAATCAAATGGATACCTAAGCTGGCTTGCCTTTCTACTATGCCTAAGGGGCAAAAATACTCTATTTTAAATACTTCTGAGTGTAAATGCCCAGTCAGAAAATATTAGTTTGGATTGTCCTATTGAGTTAATTTACTGTATTATCTAGTGCTTATTGTTTTAAAGATTTTTTCACATTATTAATGTCTTTCTGCATTTTGTCTTCTGTACACTAAATGTTCTGAGAGCATCTTGATTTGTATTACTTTGCCTCCCTCTAGCACACTCAACCCTGGAACAGTGTCGGGATTCCAATAATGGTTAAATAAGTTCTTCTTTATTGATTACTGACAGATTAACTGGTGCCTAACTTCTGAGTAAAGTTGTTATACAGCTTCTTTGAATTGAATACTGTCACATGACATAGTTTTAAAAGTAAATGGTGAAGGTTAAATTCTTTTTCAAGTGTAACTATAGCAAACAACACATTGTGCTGACTTGTTCTTAGAGACTCAAAAGTACAAATTGAGTGTGGCTTCCTGTTCTTTAGGGACGTGTGATCTTAGTCTGCAAACATTAGCACATTTGAGGATGAAATATTATTTACTTATTGCACAATCACAAATCTGCAGCCTTGTGAAGGTTAATATTTTCTGGGAATGACAACAGACTTTGCAAGATAAAAGCTGCAAAAATAGTCAGAAGTTATCCACAGTTTTGGAGCCCGAATTCTATTACATAAGAAAAGACCAAGTTGAAGAACCTAGAGTGGCAATAAATAAGCCTAGGAGTCAGGAGATTAGAATTCTAGTTCTGTTCTGGTTCAAGCCAGCTGTGAGACCTTGCATAAGTCTATAAATCTTGCTGGGCCGACACCTTCTCTTCTTTAAAACTAGAGGATTGAATTTCAGATGATTGGTAATGTCTCTTCCAGTTCTAAGATTCTACTATTTATCTGAATCGGCAACCACTATGTTAGAAAGAGTATGTAATGGTGATAGAAAGTGTTAGCACTAGAAAGAAGAGCTGTAGAATGGAGAGGAATAAACTAGTGAGCTTTTGATAGAGGAAGGACTTAGTCCTTCAACCTGAAAGCTTGAATTTTACAGCATCTTAACTGAATATTTATGTGATTATTTTACTGTTTAAAAAGACTTTGAAGTCTATAGATATGTCCAGCTAAACACTGAATGAGTGAGACCAAGATTTAAGTAGATGAGTTTCGTAGACTTAGGAACGCTTCCACAATTCTCAATTAGTTGTTTTGTGTTCTGGGGCTATAAAGACCAAATCTTTATGATCTCCATGACCAAAATTTTTCAATCATTTCTGCAAAGGTATCACTCAATTCAGCCAAAAGTCCAATTTGATGTGGAAGGCAGCATGTTGCTAAGAATGACAACTGTGGCTTTGTGAAGCCTGGTTTGGGTGACTAGATCATTTGTCCTTTTTCACTTCTTTGAGGTTGTTGGTGGTTGCTCCCTCTGATTACATCTGAGGTGGTCCTGGGTCAGTATCACATGATGAATGAACTTGTTAGCTCTTTTAGTTAAAGGATATTAAGACTTACCCTGGCTGAGCAATTGAGCTTTTTAGAGAGGGTAAACCACATCTTGAGAGAATAGACTTATAAAGTGGCTCTAAGGGACACAGAAAATCCATGGAAAGCCAGGAATGGCTGAGGTGATAGATTTCAGGGAAAGAAGGACAACAGTATTTAGGAACCAGAAGAACCAACAGAGCTCTAATAGCTGAGTTACCTTGTTGAATCACAGCACTGGAGTTTGTTCTCTTCACCAGAGCATTGCCGTGGATGTGACTCAACCATGCTCTTATCTTTGTTTCTCTTTGTGTCTGGTCATTTCTCTCAAAATAAACTGTTGTTTATTTTCTTATTTATTTCTTATTCTGTTTTTATTTCCCAAATCAAATTCCTGACACAGAATTTATCTGTCTAAACTAATAATTATCATCTCTGTTTTGGGCTGTGTGCAGAAAAGAGTTAACATGGCAGGCCTGAGACTGCTAACTTTAGAAAGGCCTGCTTGCAAGGCTGGCCCTTGGCTAGTATCTGGGTGTTCCCACCATTCTCAAAACAGATAAGAGTGGTTCTCTGTGTCTAGACTGTTTGTGCAAACATTATGATTTATACTGAATACCTGCTTTCCTTCTGCGAGTCTGGAATTTTGGTGCGTGCGAGGCAGAGGGTGCAGATGCGACCAGGCCCCAGTAAAAATGTTGAACGCTGAATCACTAAGGGGCTTTCCTGGGCAGAAACATCACGCACGTTACTGCATTTTCCATTGCTAGAGAAAGTAGCATGCTCAAGTTTTTCCCCTCACAGAAGGAGAGAGCATAGGAAGCCTCTACATGGATTTCTGTAGATTCTGCCTGTCTTTTTCCATTATGATCTGACTGTGTATTCTTACTCCATCACTGTAATAAATCTTAGCCATGAGTCCAATTATGTGCTGAGTCCCATGAGTCCATGGGACTCCAAATATGGAGATTTTCTTGGAGATCACAACAGAGGTCACCTCAAAGAACCCAGGACAATTTAGATATTGGCTGTCCTTGGGCCAAGTGTTCAACACTGGTCCAATTAATTGCATATGGGGGAGGGAGGGTGGAGTTGTACTTAACCTGGCCACTCCAGCTTATGGAATAGTCTACAGCAGTGGTTTTCAACTCAGGCTACAGAACAGAATCTTCTGTGGTGGCTTCAAAAATTAGACTCCACCCAAGATTAATTAGAATCTTGGAATTAGAGTCTATTGGGGTGGGGTCTGGATAGTGACATGTATTAAAAGCTCTCTAGTGATTCTAATGTGCAGCCAGAGTTGGGACCAATGGTCTGGAGCACTTTTCCTTCACAGAGCTCTAGTGACTTTAGAAGGTGATTGTAGGCTTCGGAGGCATTGTGATTCATCTGGCCAGTACCATGCACACTTTTCATGTGAAGAAATGAAGAACCCATATCTTCAAGCATCCTGAGAAAAATGAATGAGGTTGCTTAGTTGTACTTGTAAGCAATACTCTGGGAATTGTGTCATTTTAGGGGTTCTACTGAGGCCATCTTCACAGCATACAGTTTATGTTGACAACTTTCTGTGCTTCCAAACTCTGGTAGGAAAACAAGCAGAAAAAAATTGCATTAAAATATAAATAACCAACTGCAGCAATATTTTGCCATTGACACACATTCCTGAATGCATTGTTCCACAAAATCTGTCTCTTATGAAATAAACAGTCACATTTGTTTCTCAGGGTTATTTAAGATCCATGTTAAATTGTTTATCCTGATTAGAGAGATTCTTTGTCTTTAAAAAATCTGGTCGTCAGTAAGGCCTACCGGGACAGCCTGTGGTGTCATGGTGACCCTTCCCTTTCAGTGCAGGAGGGCCCAGCACTTGACCTTTGGGAATGGGGGGTGGGGTCTTCTGCTGGTCTTCCTGTCGCTGGCTTCCTCACAGCCCTCAGTGCCCAAGTCCTCTGATAGTTGCTGTACGAAAAAGCTCCCGGCTCCCTGTAGCAGCCTTCATAATGCAGTGTCCTGCTCACAGTGGATGCCTCGCAAATATTTGTTGAGTTGACTTGATGTGATAGTGGAACTACTGGAAGGAAGACCTGCTGCTGACAGGCGGGAGCTCACCCTGCTCCATGCTTGTGCTTTTATAGAGCCCAAGTCAGCGCCACAAAGTGCCACTGGGATCAAAGCAGCTGTTTTCTGTATGGAAGCAGCCTTGGCCTGCCAGCCCTTGGGAGATATCCTGACGATCAGTTAGGCCGTAGTCTTTTCCTCACGGTAGCTGAAGGGTATTTGTGAGTGACCTTGAGTACCTGTCATGTTGCCGCATCCCCCAGCACAGCTTCTATGGGCCCTTGCACAGTTGAGGTAAACAACACTTACACGTGCCAGTTAAAAGCTTCAGTCTCCAGCCTCCCCTTTGGAGTTGGTGTCTTTCTTACCCACACATGCCACATGTTCTCTCAAGCTGTTCCGCTTCCCCAACCAAAACCAGCTTTAGGAAAGGACTTGAAATTCATTCATCCTAAGAACTTTGAGTTTAAATACCCTCGTGAGTTTTTGCATTTTAGGAAAGTTCAGTGAACAAAGCTCAGAGGGAGGAGGTTGCCTTTTGGTGGTAGCGGTGGTATGGGGGTACTAAGTGGGGTGACTTCCTGGTACCCTTGGCACCTCGACTGGAATCTCCTCCTGTGGTCTTATCCCAGCCTGTGGCAGCCTGGCTCTGGCTTGGACATGTGGGCTTGGGACATAGCTGACCCCTAGAACCGCTGCTAAAATCACCAGAGGAACAAACCTCCATTCTGCCACCACCATTTTGTGGTCTTCAAAGCATTTCATTTTGCCATTCCGTTTTGTTTTCCTTCTCACAAGTTAACCAAGTCATCTGGCAGCTGTGTTGCAGAGTCAGCAGGAACAGTTCTGTTTTCTCTTTGCCGCCTGGCGATGTCTCAAACTTGAACAAGTTCTCAACCCCACTGTGCTTTTGGAAGTTTTCCCAAACACAAAGAGGCCACTAAAAGACCAGGAGTCTTAAAACGGAGTGAAATTCTACACCAGAGGCCTGAAGAAAAGCTGTTCAAATGAAAACATCGTGAGACCAGGAAAACATTCTTATATGTGGGTCACTTACATGTCCAGAAACAGAATTTAATAAATAGCTAGTAATGAAACTATACCAAACACACACACATAAAACCAGATTGCAAAAATAGCATATGCAGAGTGACCCTATTTTGGTAAAACATAGGCTATATAAAAATATACAGGACATTTATTGTTCGCTGACTATGTGCCAGGAACTTTGTTAAGTGATTATATACAGTACTTTATTATATATACTTGACAAAAACCTGAGGAGGTGGTTCTTATTATCCCCATTTTATAGATGAGAAAACAGAAGCTCATGGAGGTTCCAACTTGACCAAAGTCACATTGATAATATGTTAGAAAAGTCCATAATCCATTAGAGTATTTTAGAACCATTACTGGATATATCTGAAAAGATAAATTGTTGATGATAATTCATAATATAACTTGGTAGAGGATAATAAGTAATTTTTATTTTTTTCATTTTGCTTATGTAAATTTTCTAATTTATCTCCAATGAACGTCCTTTGCTAACAGAAAATTATTTTTTAAGCGAGAAACTTTTACCAAGTACCAAATAGTTTGTAGATGAGTTAAATATATTTGCCATGAAAGGATGATTTAGAAGTTTTGAGCAAATTCTCTTTATTCTGTTTGTGAAACTGTAAAGACTTCTGTATTAGTTTGCTAGGGCTTCCATAACAAAGTACCACAGGCTGGGTGGCTTAAACAATAGCAACTTATTTTCCCATAGTTCTGGAAGTTAGAAGTCTAAGATCAGGGTATTTGCGGGGTTGGTTTCATCTGAGGGACATTGTGTTTGGCTAACAGGTAATCGTCTTCTTCCTGTGTCTTCACACAGTCTTTCCTCTGTGTGTGCCTGTGTCACAATCTCTTCCTTTAAGGACACCAGTCATATAGAATTGGGGCCCACCCATAAGACCTCATTTTACTTTAATTACCTCTTTAAACACCCTATCTCCAAACACAATCACATTCTGAGGTACTGGGTGTTAGGACTTCAACATATGAATTTGGGGGTGGAGGGGATACAGTTTAGCCGGTACCAACTTCCACCATAGAAATGTCTCACCTAAATAACTCAAGAAATTAAAAATTAATACAAGTTATGAAAACAACATTAACAGAAGTTTGAGAGTATCCTGTCTTCTCCTTCAACATTTCATTTCTGAAATACAGAATATTTTTAGAGTATACCTTATAAGACTTTTCCAAAGACTCCAAAAAGAGCCAAAGAAAGGTCTGATGTTGATAATATAGATGTGCAATTGTCGTACGACAGGAATTTAAAACCCTGAAACAATCATCATTATGTCATGTTTTCCAATGGTCTGCATTTGTGACTCAAAAATTTCTCTTTTCCACATTTCATGAGACATATGCAACATTTTAGCTAAATTTCTAGAGTCCAACTGCTGAGATATAAATCCCCAGGATGCTGCATCTGAAAACGCCTTTTGTTTGTTTTGTTTTCCCCTGGTCATTTTCAGTAATGAATGGCTCCCTCAAGCTTAGGAACAATGGAGCAGTATAACAATGACCTCAGAGATGATACAATAAACTGTAGAGAAGAAGTTGCACCCCCTGCCCCCATCTCTGACAAGATCAACAAGTTATGTACACAGTATTAGGGCCAGGCAGAGGATGACCCCTTTCTCCAGAGGCCCTGATGCTGGTGGTGACTGGCCAGAAAGTAAAGCCTTGTTCTGTCTCTCTTGTGGCTTTTCCTCATGCCTTTCCCACCAACTCATAGACTCTCAGAGGTCTAGTCCTGCTTCCCACCTGCCACCATCCACTTCACTCCCTGCGTTGTCTTGCCCCCGTCTCTGCCTCCCAGTTGAATACTGTCTATCCAGCGAGGTCTGGGCCAAGAACCCAGCTCACCTCCTCTGGAGTGCCTTCCTGGACTGAGCCTCAATACTGCTGCCTTTTCTAGAGGTTTGTAGACCTGTCTAGAATGAAGCTCCTAGAAGACAGGGCACTCTTCTTGTCTCTATAATTGTTTTATCTTAGTATCACTCAATAAATAGGTGCAAAGTGAATGAATAAATGAATGGGTCTCAGATAATGGGGCCCTCATTTTTGGCAGTTTCTGTATTAAGTATCTATTGCTGCATAACAAATGACCCTGAAACTTAGTCACTTAACACAACAAACATTTATTATTTCACAGTTTCTGAAGTCAGGAATCAGGGAGCAGTTTACATGAGTACCTGTGCCTCAAGGTCTCTCACCAGGCTGCAATCAAAGTGGCAGCTGGGATGGCAGTCTCATCTGAAAGCTCAACTGGGGGAGAATCGGTTCCAAGCTGGCTCATGTAGTTGTTGGTAGGGTTCATTTCCTTGCTGGCTGTTGCCCTGATGGCCTCCTTCAGTTCCTTGCCGCATGGGTTTCTTCATAGGAAAGCTCATAGCATAGAAGCTGACTTCCCTCAGAGCCAGTGAGTGAGTGAGAGAGAGAAGAAAGATGGAAATCAGAGTCTTTTTGTAACCTAATATTAGAAGTGACATCCATCACTTTTGTCATATTTTATTCCTCAGAAGTGAGTCAGTGTCCCACCTACACGCAAGGTGAGGTGATTACACAAGGACATGAGTACCAGGAGGAAGGGATCATTGGGGGCCAGCTTAGAAGCTGCCTACCCCAGTCCCACCCTCAATCTCAATTTTTTCTTGCTGCACTTGGTACTTTTCTCTCCAAGAAGTCAGTTATAACCCCATGGAACAGCCTTCTGGGGGCCGCAACTTTGGAATGGCAAATTACCAAAAACTGAATGAATAACTGTTGCTTTAATTTAAGAAAGTCTAAGAAAGATTCAAAAATTTGCTCTCACTCTTCTTTAATTTTCACTTTATTTTTATTCTGAGTGATTGTTCTGGATTTTTAGCTTTCTTTACTCTGTAGGACAAACCATAATTCTGGGTTTCTTATTGACTCATTAACCTCAAATACGATTCCTTTCCCCATGTCATTATGAAGACCATTATGACTTTAAATTGGCCAAACTCTTAAGTCTGTCCAGAAACCAAAAGGAGAAAACCTTGATTTTGTAGAATGCTATTGTATGATCTTGATTGAGGCTGAGGGAATTTTTAGAGTTGGGGTAAAAAATGCTTACGCTTCAAATACTAAATTCCTACCACCAGTTGTTAATTCAAAACATGGATTTAATATGGATATGCCATATTAAGCATGTAATATTCCATCAATGTAGATAGTTAGTGACTCTTACCCAAGGACCAGAAGTACTAGAGCTGGATGCTAAAGACCCGGCTCTGACACTTGCTGTGTGATGTTGGGAGAATCATTGAAACTCCTTCCCTGGGGTTTCTACAGCTGTAAAGTGAGGCTAATAATAGTGACCTTACAGCATTACTTTGAGGATCAAATAAAATAGTTTATACCCATCAACAGATTAAAAAACTGCATTCTGTCATCACGATTGGATAATCTATTTTTTTAAACGACAATCATGTGGACTTTTTTGATATGTGAAAATAATGGCATGAATTAATGTTAAGTTTTTTAACAAGTTAATCAAAATATGGATAGGCCCATTACAGTAGTGGTTAAGAACAAAGTCTATAGAGCACAACTCTCAAGTTTAAGCCAACTTACTAGTTGTATGACTTGCAGCAAATTACTCAACCCCTCTATGCTTCAGTTTGTCTCATCTATAAAATGGGTGTAGTAATAGTAACTTTCTCATATGATCAATAGAGATTAAATAAGTCAATAGATATAAAAGTGCTAAAAATAGTAACTGATACATAGCAGGTCCTCAATAAAAGTTAGTTTTCTTATATGCACATAAATTAGAACAATATGTAAATGCAAGCCTTTAGGCAAAGAATAGAAGTAAATTTGGAAGGGTATCATTACACTATATGTTATTAATTCTTTTTTATTTTCTGTAATATTAATAGCTAACACATACTAACCACTATGTAAAGCTGAGAGCTTTATAAATATTATCTAATTCTCATGTCAATCTTATGAGGTAGTTACTATTCCCCTTTTCGAGATGCAGAAATGGAGACTTAAAGAGGTTAGGTCACTTTGCCAAAGATCACAAAATAACAATGTGGCAGAGATGGGGCTCAAACATAGTTT